GAGCTAAAGTTTCCACCCGGAACGAATAAGCTCCACCTCCGGAAGATTCGCGACGGGGTGAAAAGGGAAGGGCACCCTCCCCCCCCTCCATTACACTTACCGCCACTTCCGGTGGGGCGGTTGGTGCCTTAGCAACCAGACGTAGCAACTGGGGCCTGTGGCGGCAGCGGCGATGATGATGATGATGGTGGTGCGCGTCGCGTCTGAGGGTCTCGAACAATCTTGAGCTCGCGCCAGAAGCTCTACACTCTGGAACTTTCTTCCTTCTGGTGAACATAATGGGCAGCTTAGGACCCGAAGCCTTCCGGGGGGGGGGGAAGGCTGGCACGCCGGTCCCAGGGAGCAGGTAGTTACTTCCTCCGTGAGGCCGCACGGTGCTGTGGTGGGTCCCTGGGATGTTTGCAGATTTTCTTTTCAACCACACACACACACACAGTCCACCACCCCTGGATTATTGTGACAATCCTGTCAGTATTTGCAAAAATAAAATGAAGGGACATCCTGAACTCCGTATGCATGCACCCATTGAGGCGCCTCAATTCTTAATTCAGTTCCCCCAACGAATTAGAAATTTATTGCCCTTGGGAATCCAATTAAGGTAACTCATGTCAAGACTGCTTTGAAAGCAAAAGCAGCCTTTCGCACCAACTCGTTAGCTGCTTTCGAAAAGATAAAGGAAAATTGAAGTCAATAGGAGTTGGGGTAGGGTGGGAAGGAGTGAACCCCTGCTTTTCAAACAGGGAACATTTTCCAGATCAACTTCCAGTTCTGTCTGCTTGAAATGGTAAATGTTTCACAGTTACAGTATAGGTATTTTTGAAATATTTATGCTCCTAGTTATTGCAGCAACATAGATGAGTAGACACCTATACTAGTTTTTGTTGTTGGTGTGTGTGTGTGTGTGTGTGTGTGTGTGTCAGTCAGTCAGGGGTTTGAACATAGGGTTTGGGTGCTGTGACCTTTTGTTTATTTTTTTTTTTCCTCTCTCTGAAGTCTAGCACTCTACCACTTTTGCCACAGCTCCACTTCTGGTCTTTTTCCCCCCCTTTTTTTGATAGTTAATTGTAGATAACAATCTCACAAGGGGAAGGTGGCTCAGTGGTAGAGTGCTTGCCTTGCATGCAGGAGGCCCTGGGTTTGATTCCTCAGCACCACATAAGCAGAAAAAAAAAAAGCCAGAAGTGGCACTGTAGCTCAAGTGGTAGAGTGCTAGCCTTGAGCTGAAGAGCTGAGGGACAGCTCCCAGGCCCAGAGTTCAGGCCCCAGGACTGGACACCCCCCCAAAGAAAAATCTCACAAGACTTTCCTGCCACTGCTAGCTTCCAGCTGCAATCCTCATATCTCAGCCTCCTGAGTAACTAATAACACAGGAGCCTGTAATACTATTATTATTAGCCACAACTGGCCTTGGACTAGAATTTCGTGTGTGTCAGCCTCCCAAGTGCTGAGATTATAGGTGTGAACTTCCTTGCCCATTACACTCCTGATTATTTTGATGATTGTTTTTTTTTTTTGGGGTCTGGTCGTGGGGCCTGAACTCTGGGCCTGGGCGCTGTCCCTCAGCTCTTCAGCTCAAGTCTAGCGCCCTACCGCTTGAGCCACAGCGCCACTTCCGGCTTTTTTCTTTTTGCTTATGTGGTGCTGAGGAATTGAACCCAGGGCCTCAGGCATGCAAGGCAAGCGCTCTACCACTGAGCCCCCTTTCCAGCCCTTTTGATGATTGTTTTAACTCTTTGTTGAATGTACCAGTGCAGCCTAATTTATAATTACACATTCAGAATGGGTCAAAAACAGCAGTTTTAAGCAATTGTGATTTAATATTATTTCAAGTCTAATTTTTTCTTAGGATAAAAGCTTCAAAAGAGGATTTTTTTTCTCCTCCCCTTAGAAAAAAAGCTCCAGGGGAGGGCGGGGGGGGGGGAAGATAGGAAGGGGAAACAAAGGAGGAGGCAACAGTGAATGTACTCATTATCTTGCCCATGTAATTGTAACCTCTCTATACGCTATTTTCACAATAAAAAAAAAAAAAACAAGAAAAAAAGCTCCAAAAAGGAATAACTTCCCCTTTTTCTTAGGAAAACTCCATAAGAGGAATATTTTTTAGGAAAAAAGCTCTCAAAGAGGAATTTTCTTTTTCCTTAGGAAAAAAAGCTCCCAAACACAGATTGTTTTTAGTACTCACTAAAACCTTGACATCTTCTTGGTCATAGTTCTCTTCAGTTGTATTTAAAACAGTAATACTGTCTGTCTCACCTATAAACAAATATTTTCTCAGAGCCTTTTCCTTCCAACATTTCACTATGAGAAATTTCAAATATATATAACTAAAAGAATAGTGGACACATATATACCCACTATCAGCTTTTATTGTATGTATATATATATTGAACACAAGATAAAGATAACATGACAACATAACCCCTAAATACAGCTATGTGTATTTTCTAAAGTTAAGTCTATTCTGTGTAATCATAGCATCATCCTTACAATGAACAGTTCCCTGATATCATTTAATATTTAGTTTATATTAAAATTCATCTTCAAACATAAAATACTAGGATGGAAAAGCCTTTACATATCACTTTGGCATCTAAAGCTTTGTTGTTGGTCATGGGCCTTGAACTCAGCTTAGCCGCTGTCCCTGAGCTCTTCAGCTCAAGGCTAGTGCTGTACCACTCGAGCCACAGCACCATTAAATGCCACATAGAAATTCTTTTTTTTTTTTTTTTGCTGGTCCTGGAACTTGAACTCAGGGCATAGGCACTGTCCTTGAGCCTCTCTGTGCTCAATGCTAGCCCTCTACCACTTGATCCACAGCACCACTTTGGGCTTTTTCTGTTTATGTGCTACTGAGGAATCGAACCCAGGGCTTCATGCATGCTAGGCAAGCACTCTACCACTAAGCCATATTCCCAGCCCTCACACAGAAATTCTTTCTGAAAGGTTATGAGGTCTATAGGATTAGTCCTTGTGACATTTGTGCATGTATGGGATACTGGGGTTTAAACTCAGGGCCTTATATTCAGCAGACAAGTGTTCTATCACTGGAGCTGCACTGCCAGACCTAGTAACTTTAAAACAAGGCAAAACTTCGATTTTCTAGGTTTAAGTCTGTGTTAGTACTGTTCACCCAGCAAAATAATACCACTCATCCTTCTTGGAAGTTAGGAAAGTAAGTAACATGATTCATCTACTTATAATAGCTTATAGTCATCAAAAGAGCAAATAGAATCCCAAGGTAGTTAGGAGGCTTGTTGGCTTCTAACTTTGCATTTTACTCAAGATAAAAATTCTGAAATTAGGGGCTGGGAAGGTGGCTCAGTGGTAGAGCGCTCGCCTTGCATGCCTGAGGCCCTGGGTTCGATTCCTCAGCACCACATAAGCAGAAAAAGCCGGAAGTGGC